TTCGGAGTGAAAAGTGTTCTGTTTAGTGATGTAAATTGGGTGAATCTTTAAGCAGATTTATGCCTCTGCAGCTTGTTTTCCTGCAAAATGTTTCCTCACTTACTACACTTTAGCTTGCCAGATACTATGCATTCTTGATGTGTTACGTGTGTTATTTCTCTAGCAGTTGGATGGAGAGAGGAGCTTGGATGGAGAGGCATGTGGAGGAACACCTGCCCCTGCATTGTATGCCCCTAAATTTCATGCACGAGGAGCGGCTGGGCAAAGGGACTGGACTGGGCTTGGGGTGTGCAGCTCGAACTGAACTGGAGCAAAATTAATTTAGGTTTAGGGTTAAGGTTGAGACTTCTACCTAGTGCTCTCCACAGCTAAAAACCCAGGCCTTGGAAATGTTAGAAAGACTTTGTTTTTGGATTTTCTTTTTCTTTCTTTCTTTTTTTGTATTTTTGATCACAGGGATTGTGGCCTGTGGATTAAGGGGCAGTGTTGTCTCTGAAGGGACCAGACAGCTCCAATGTCAATGGTCTCGACAGAAGTCAATCCTGAGAATGAGATCTGGGAAGGTGGTTGTTAGAGCTAGGATGAGATGAAATTGTTTGCTCCCTCTGGCCTGAAGTCTGAACTGTAGGAGGGAGGGCCACTGAGGGCGCCCCTGTAAATGGGAGCTGAGCTGCTGCCTGTAATGTCAGCAGGTCAAGGGTGAGGCAAAAACAGTCATCTAGTGGGGGGCCCTGTGGAGAGACTTGAGACTATGGAATAGATATATCTAGTCTCTAAAACGTAAATTAGATTAACTAATTCCCCTGCTTAAAACTTTTCTGTTGCTTCCTGTTACAAACTCCTAATTGTGGCTGGCAGGGCTCTGTGTGATCCGGCCCTGCCTGCTTCTCGGATATCACCATGTATGACGTCTACACTTCCTCGCTGTGCTCCGGCTAGGTTGCTTTTTTCCTGCTCTTGAAACTCATCAGGCTTATTCCTACCTCAAGACCTTTGCACTGGCATCTTTTGCCTCAATTGTTCTCAAGATCCTCACGTGGCTTAGGTCATCTAGGTCTTAGTTAAAATGTTACCTTCTCAGAGAGGCCTTTTCAAACTACTTAGTCCTACGTGGCCATCCCTCTGTATCGTTTATTTTACTTTTCATCATAGCGCTCATGATCAAAATAATTTTGGGTGTTTCTTTTCTTCCTCCTTGTCCAGTTCTTCCACTGAAATGTAATTCATGTGAACCAGGATCTTGTCTATCTGTGTATTCTGTAGCCTCAGTGCCTAGAATAGTGCTTGGCACCTGGTATGTGTTTGATAAATACAAATCAAGTTTTAGAAAAGTCTTGTTAAATATTTCAGCTGTGGAGCATTGAGAATGCTTGGGGTGAGAAGGTGCAGAAAAAAAAGGATAGCTTTGACTGAGGGTGCTGGTCTTGTATGAGCAGGAAGCCCCACTCTGCTATTTACAGCCAGATTCTTAGCTGAGGTGGCAAGTGCCACCCAGGTTGAAATTGTGAAAGAATTTCCGGAAGAGTCCGAGAGAAGCATCACTACCAAGCAGGTAGGGGCTTGAGCTGTTGGGACTTGGATATTCCTATTAGTTTCCCAGGGCTGCCATAACAAATTACTACACACTGGGTGTCTTAAGTAATAGAAATTACTGTCTCACAGACTCAAGATCAAGGTGTCAGTGGGGTTGCTTCCTTCTGAGTGAGAATCTGTTGCATGCCTCTCCTAGCTGCTAGTGATTTGCTGGTGATCTTTGGCGTTTCTTGGCTTGTGGAAGACACATCCCGATCGCAGCCTTCATCTTCACCATGGTGTTCTTCTTGTGGGTATGTCTGTCTCTGCACCAAAATTTCCCCTTTCTATAAGGACATAGTCATATTGGATTAGGGCCCACTCTAATGACCTCATTTTAACTTGATTATTTGCAAAAACCCTATATGACCTTATAAATAAGGTCACATTCACAGATACGGGATCAGGACTTCGACGTCTTTTTAGGGAACATGATTCAATCTAAAATAGCAATAAAGAGAGATCTGGGACATTCAAGGCAAAACAGCGGCCTCTGGTTGACCAGATGCCCTGGTGGCTGTGCTTGGAACCCTGAGGGATCTGCTTAAAGAGAAGACCTCCAGAGGAGAGAAATGGTCCCAGGAGTTCCCTCCTGAGGGCAACTGAAACCAGAGCTGCTGAGGGCAGGGAGGGGTTTTGGAGATTGGCCTCTGGGTTTTCTGGGCTGGCTTCTCTCCAATCACAGGCCATGGTGCACTTTGTTCAGGATTCTTTCCTTTTTCAGAACAGCTCTAAGACTCAAGCAAATATCCTACTCACCATGCAGGAAGCAAATCTCTGTTTTAATTGCCTGTGCAATTAGTGCACTTCTAGTGTCAGAGTCATCACCTGGAAAAGCACTTTGGTTAATTTGAATTTAAGCGGAGCTCTGATATGACTGAGGGCCTCATCGTGAGGGGCTGGGTACCCTCTCATCATTCAAGTGGCACCTGCCAACCCAGGCCTGGAGAATCTGTCTGCAGTGCTGTTTGCATCTCCTCATCCTTTCTTTCCCCTCACCCTCCTCCAGCAGAGGGGAGCATATTTGACTTGCAGGCTGAGGCTGTATTAAGAAGTCAGCTGGCTGACAGCTGCCAATCCACCAGGCAACCGGAAACAGAAAACCATGTAACAATGAACTGCCACTCAGAGGGAGCTCCTAGGAGGCAGAATGGAATTGTCTTGATTGGAATTTTCCTGGGCCACCAGCCAATCCTGCTTCCATCTTGTTGACCTGAACATCAATAATTTGTTTTTCATCATGCTGCTCAAGAGCTCTCTTCTCCTTTTTTGCCTCTTCAAACTCCCTATCGGAGCAGAGCACAAAGAGACCACTTTTCAAACAAAACTATCTTGAAATTAAGAAAAGGATGTAGGTCTCATGGCCCACAGGAGATACCACCCCCATGAACAAGTGGTACTGAGGGGATGGGAATTGAGAGCTGACCTAGAATTAACCAAGAAGGGACATGAACATCTTTGGTTCAGTGAGGATGCAGAAGGGAAGAGAAGTAGATAGAATTTAGTTCATTGTTTCAAAGCGCACATTCGGTCACTTGGGATTCCAAGATATGTTCGGTACAAATCCCACTGGGCACCCCCCTAGTGAGAGGATGGGATCTGGCCCAGGGGCTGGAGAGAAAACCTAAAAGGGTCTTTTTCAGAATCAAACCCACCTTCTCCATTTTGTCAATGTCTGCACTTGCTCCTTTTTAAGGGGGAAGCTCTTCCCTGCTCTTGATGTTTCCTTCCTGTTATAAGACTCTTGTCTCTCTTTTGCTGGGGAAAATAAGCTTTTCTAAATGCTGAGTTTTACAGTAGGGCCTGGGCATTACCCCTCTGTTCCCTGTCTCGTGGGACAGGTTGTTCCAAGGGTTCAGGCCTGTACTTGTTCTTTCATGCTGTAAGTCTTAACCTGGGTAGTCCCCCAACTCTGCCATATGGAGGGACTTGCCCAGGTCCACAGTGGCCATTCAGTTTGCAAACCCATCTGGTCATGACACTAAGCTACATGCTGCAATCTAGGGGACAGTTTGGTGTCCATCTGTTTCACTCTTTGTCTTATTTATCAATGGAGTTTAAAGCCAGTGTAACACAGAGCCACTATTTATTTATTGAATCTTTTTGAAGTCCCTGGACTCATTCCATTCTGTAGCAGGCTCTTATGCCACAATCCAAGGTTGAATTGAGTTAGTGGTTCTTTGACTTAACCCCATGTGAAGATGCTGGTTCTTAGACCTTACAGATGTTATCAGTTTTCTTTGATCCCTGGGTCAACTGGAAGTTGGCAGAGATATTATTTGATATGTGATCACCCCAAGGCAAAGAGGGTGAGACTGAGAATCCAGATGACAGACACAATCACTAATCTGATCACAGGGCCTTATTGACCTGATAAAGGGTGCCAGGAAGCCCATCCTTTGGATGGTGCCTGTCCTACTTGCCTACTAGCTGGCCAGACTGATGGGAACTGAGAGAGTCAGGGAGGAAGTCACCTGAGGTCTGGCCTTTCCCAGGTGTTGGCAAAGCTCTTTAAGAATCCCAGTGGCCTTGGCAATGCAGGGGTGGCTGGTCATCACAGCAATGTAGGTTTTCTATGGGCTTTATTCACTTCCTGTCAGTGGGAGTCAGCCTCATATTAGCTTTACTGTTGTGCTTACAAATGTCAGCGTGAGTCACAGAATTTGTCAGAAGGTCTGCTTAGAGTTGTACAGGTTGGGCTTAGGGCAATGCCAGCACACACCATCATGGTGATGTAGTCATTGTAGATGTACAGAATTGTGATGATAATTTCCAGCAAATGGTAAGAATGTGCCTTGAGAAAGAGACACCTGTCCTGAATTGTCACAAAATTGCCATCTGGAGTAGCAATATGGATGCTTACATGTGTTCAAGGCAAACTTACAAACGGGAAACCTGAGACACATGGTGGGGAAGGATTTATATCCAGCACAGATGGGCTGGCAGTAGAGGTGGCCTGAGAAGCTAGTCCTCCGCTCCTAGTGAGGGCGCCCTGCTTTTCCTCTGTGCTGGAAACCTCTCGCTTCCTTCTCGCAGTGTCTGTGACAAGGCCGACGCTCTGGCACACCTCCCTCACTCCTAATACCCCTCTTGCTGTGACAGACACCACCGGCTGGCTCCACCCCTTTCCCCCCTTGTTCCTCTCCCGTCACCGCGGCCGTACCTGTCGTGAACTGAGTGGTGGCAGAATCGCTCTCGTTGGTCCCGCGGACGGCGCTGACTGACACCTCGTAGCGGGAGCCGGGCCGCAGGGCCTGTACCGAGTATTGGCTCAGGGGAGGCTGCAGCCGGAAGGTGGTCCTCCCGCCTTCCCCGCCCACCAGGCCGTATTTCAAGAGAATGAAATCGACTTTGGCTCGAGGGGGGATCCACTCCACAAAAGCCACGGTGTCGGTGACATCTCGAACCAGGATCTGCGTGGGGCCGTCAATGACTAAGAAGGATCAAACAGAACAAAAAGTTTGAGTGGGATATAAGCCTTGGGCGTCAGCTCTCCCCTCCTTAGGGAAATCTGGTCAATCAGAGAAAGGATGGGTATTATTATTGCATTTTACAGATGAGGAATATGAAGGCTGTTTCCTGAGGACCGAATCTTGGTCTAATTCTTCTTTTACCAGGCTGTAGTTTTCAGGTGATGGCACTGCCCAGTCTGGGCAGGGGAGGGGCGCTTGTTAGCTTGAAAGAGTCGGCCCTGTTCCTTTCTGGAAGTCATGGGACAGGGAACTGAGAATTGGGTTTCTGGCATGTGTCTGCCACTCAGCTGTCACCTTCGTTGAGCCCTGAGGAGAGATCTAGGAAATGACCAGCCCATCTAAACATCCGAGACTCCCAGCTTGGTTGCCAAAGAAGTCATCACAAGTATTCAAAAGATGTCCCTGTTCAGCCACTCCAATAGCCCAGTCAACACAGCTGCTAAGACCGTTTAAAAACCCAACAGATATTTGGGTTTGTGGACATGAAACACGCCTTCTGGGTAAACTTGCTCCTCTGGTTAAAAGGATAAAAAGGACCTCAGCTTTGGAACAGCCTCTTAACGGGTATTTTTCTCCACCTGTTCTTGCATATTTCTACACCAGAAGGGGGTTGCAGTCACCTCTCCCAGGCTCTCCAGTGTATGTCCCTCATAAGCTCTGGCCTCTGGCATTGTGCAGGTCACGGCAACACCTGGAAAGCTGGTTGGTTTCCTGGAGGGCCCACCACCTGTGGTTCCAGCACCCACTTGAGGTTCTGTTCATACTGAATTAGATAATGGGGAGGTGAGGGAATGTAGAAGGAGAAAGAAAAAGAAACAGCCAAGTGAGGAGAATAGGAAATGGTCTTCTCAACTTCTCATGGGATGTCTGCATGGCCAACACACTCTTGCCTCCATGTTTTCATTTATTATTGGGACTATACCCTTCTGGCTGGAGCTGATTATTAACATTCATATTCTTTAAGGACTTGGAATGAAAACCAGAACTCTGGTTCTCTAATTAGCCTGTGCTGAACCATGCAGAGCCAGAGAATGGTGCAGCCATTCTCTACCATTCTAATACTGATATAGAAAACATTTGATCTGGAGAAAAGGGGAAACTGGGAGAAAGGGAGAGAGGGAGAGAGAGAGAGATAAAGAGAGAGAAGCAAGTGACCATGCAGAGCTTCTAGAAAGATATATGGAATAACTTGATTGCTGATGCTCCATTTTCTGGTGCAAGTCTTTTATGAGGCCCAGATGCATTTCTGGCCCTGGGGTTCCCATGAGACACTCTATGTCCTTCCAGTAAATTCTGTATTTTGCTTCAACTAGTTTAAGTAAGTATCTCTTCCTTGTTACCAGAGAGTCTGGACTAAGGCTTGTTTCTAAATGGTCCACACTGGCCCACCTCCTACTCTGATTCCAAAATGAAGTTTCTCCCTCAGGACTGTCTTAAGCGGACCTTGAGTCTCTCAGTTTTTCAAGGTTTAGCCTTTCTGGGCACCCCTCCCTCTTTCTGGGTTTTAGCCTAGTCCTGTCTTCTCTTAAGCTGCTTAGGGCTCTTGGTCCAGCACCAGCTAAAATGAAAATAACCAGACCACTTGGGTGCCACCTGGTTTGGAGTTAAAATGAAGTCCTGGTTTTCGTATTTGAGGTAGTAATGTGATTTAACAGAACATATCCAGTTTCTTTTCAGCATGCTACACTTGGTGGCTTTAGATAACTTAGGCGTTTCACATGTATTTTAACTTAATTATGAAATGGAAGTGGCCTCCTAGTTGCTGTGTAAGCATGATATCTGAAACATAGTAGACACTCAGTAAATGAATGCCGAGTAAATGAAATGAATGAATGATCCTCTTTATCCATGAGAAAGAGGGGGAAGAATTTCAATAAACTGGAGTTTTTTAGTGGGGGAAAAAAAAAGGTGTCAGGGAAATGTACCTGACCACAAAAGGCTTTTGTCCTTCAACTCTTTAAGCAAGAAAACCCTAATCATAATGGATTGAACATATTAGAATGTGATTATGTAGCGCAGCGGTCTTTAGCTGCAGGAGGTCTTGTAATTTGCATTCACAAAATGGCCTGCCTAGAAGAAAGCAGCCTGGGTGCCTGATGAGGACACAGAGTTTCACAGTTGGGGGTTGGTGTAGGTCCGACCTTAGCAGAAGGAAATAATTAAACATTCGTTTCCTAAAAACAGCACACAGAATTGGGAGCCAATCATCTTTGTTGCAACCACTCTCGGATTCTGCCCTTTGGTTGGCCACTTAGTAGCAATGTTCCATTCCAGTCAAGGAGGGATCAGCTTGCTCTCAGCTTTGGTCCTAATTTCTAAACAAGCACAAGCCCTGCTCAAAAAAGTAAACTGGAATAAATGTTTTTCCATTTCTTCATGACTCTGTAGATGAAGCCAAAATATTAAGGACATATTTTCTTAAACGAAAATAATTCTGCCTAGCTTTACCACAAATTTCTAGATCTGGAATTTTAATTTCAATCTTAAGGAACTGCCAAACCAAAAAATACTGCAAATGTAAGAATGTGATTTGACTATAAAACTAAGGCAAGGTTGCACTACCTTCTCTACGTTCTCTCTCTCTCAACATTCTAGGAGAAAAACATTCCTCAACTGCAGTATTTTCTATCCTCTTATGAACCATCTCCTTTTAGCCTTTTGTCTTTTACTAATACTTTCTTAATATCAAATCACAGGAGTAGCCTGGGCACCCTGAAACATTTCATATCAGAAGAGGGGAAGCTGCACATGCTATTCTGGGGCTCATCACAGGACACCCCAAAGTTTGGCACCTTGGTGTGCTAAGTACTTTAAATTAAAGGAGATTGAAAGAGCCTCAGAAACAGCCCCCTAAGCAAGGTCAGTCCTCCCATCCCCCGACCCTCCTTCTCCCTTTGAGGTGATTCACAGAAACCAGAATTCCTCTTCCCCAAGGTGGGTAATAGGAACTAGAACTCTTCCCCAAAGTAAGTCATAAAACCTAGAAAGGTCACTTTCTCCCTCCTCCCTTCTTTCTTGAAGACCCTCATTCCAGTAGGGTCCTGCCCCATAGAGGAGGTGGAGAAGGAATGCTTCACAGAGAGGCCAAGAAGAATCTGAGCAGACAGGCCTTGCTGGGTCTCTCCCTTAGACTATTACCAGTAGCTCATAGCTGTTTGTCCGATTACATTTCTACATGGTTCTCCATTCTTCCCACAACCTAAGCATAAAAACAGACGGTTTCCCCCAGGTCTTCGGATCTTCATTTCTGAAGGCTCCTGAGTCACATGAAACTTTGATTAAATAAATTACAAAAACTTAGCTGGGCATAGTGGCATGTGCCTATAGTCCCAGCTACTCAGGAGGCTGAGGCAGGAGAATAACTTGAACCCAGGAGGTAGAGATTGCAGTGAGCTGAGATCATGCCACTGCACTCCAGCCTGGGCACCAGAGCAAGACTGCATCTCAAAATAAATAAATAAATATATAAGTGAGTAAGTAATGCTTTCTCTTGTTAACCTGTGTTTAGAGATAGAAGTGTTGTTGTGACCCTTATATGATGGGTGAGCAAGGACATCACACCTTTTGGCCCCACATCATCAAATGTCAATTCTTCATGTTCCAGCATCACTTTGGGGCACAGAGCTGTGGAAAAACCCCAGCCACTGGCCTTGTGGAGGGATTCCTACAGAGCCCTTTAGGTTTTATGGTTATGGGGTTTCTTCTAAAGCATACTATTGGGATCAGAACAATGGTTTGAAAACTTTCTGGGTGGTAAACTTTTTTTTTTTTAAAGGACAAAATCTTAAATGGATGTGCAAAATATAAAACAGATCAAAGTAGAGCCACCCTGGTTGGAGGGATGGAAGAGGGAGTAATTAGTGGTCTGGCTCCCCACCGATCCTATTCTCCAGGTACTGCCATAGAACCCTGGTGCATGAATGGAACACAAGCTACTGCCACAATCATTCCGAACCAATGTTTGCTAAACTGAGCTTAAGCCTGGGCACTTGATGCTGTTTGGTTTGGATTCAGTAGCAGAGCATGAATCACGAATCTATCAACGTGGTCTCATTACATTGTGTTGTGGTTCCCATTTCTGGCTACCTCGGCGTTTTGTCCTGGACTTAAAACTGGCTTTCCAATATGTCAATTTCTGTTTATGAAAAACACATAAAGCTATACCAATAGTCACCTATCTCAATTTCTGTTATTGACAGGGCATGTTGCTTAGCCTCTGAGTTTCAGCTCCATCAATGATAAAATGAGAACCAAAAATTATGCCAGATGCTACTTATAACTTTGGAGACATTCTTGGTGAGGTCATACATTTATACATCACAATAGCTCATTTACAGCATTGAAGTTGAACATCCTTTGTTAGCTAAGGAAACAATAAGGCAAAATATGACAATTAATGAATCAATCCTGGAAGTATAATGATCTTGAATGAGGTGAACTGTGGGGATGAAATTATAATAGACTTAAGCCATCACCTTGAACAGTGACCTAACCCATACCTACTGATTTTTGAATGACTCGTTTCCTACCACTTTTGCTTCTGAGTATGTTCTCTGCGTATATGTGTGTATACCACGTATTGAGCACTTACTCTTATCGGCACAGAGCTGATCATTGTGTGTTTTATCTAATTCCATCCTCATATTAACTTAATGAAGGAGGTATTCTTGTTTATCATAAATTATTCTTACTTATCTGGTAAAATAAATTGAGGTTTGGGAAGGTTCATTGACTTTCTCCAAATATCATAGGTAAGCGTGGGTCAGCTCTTGCTGCTTCCAAAGCTCATGACACCAGGGGCTGACAAATGGGGCTCCTTAATAAGATCAGAAGGAATACAGTGGAAATATTACAAAAGAATTGTCTCCATGGAGCGCTCTCCCAGATGTCAGTGCTTGTAAGGATGAGTAATAAGATGATGAGCTAAGGATCTGGTAGAGTAACTCCATCGCCAGGTACCAGAATTGTCCCAGCTCTGGGAGAAATTCTAGCACTTCTTTTGTCTCTCCACTCCTTGGGCAATGTTGTGGTTCCTTTTCCTAAGTGAACTAGCACATAGCTATAGAGAGAAGGGTTGGAGGCACTCACCTGTGGAGACGCTGGCCGAGGTAGGGGGGCTCCGGGCTTGTTCTTTCAGAGCCACCACATTGACAATGTATTCCTCCCCAGGCTTTAGCCCCGTCTGGTTAAAGGATGTAACATCGCTGGGGACCTGAGCAATCACTCCTCCTTCATTGTTCTGGACAGTGGGGAGATGCAGAGAAAGGAAAGGAGAAAAGTCACTGGGAGAGAAATCTGATGAGAGAAAGATAAAGGTGTGGATCACTAACTGTGAGTTGTGAATTTGAAATGGGGGTTATTTCTGTTTCCTCCATGCTGACAGCTGAGTGTCTGGGGCCAGAAATAACTCCCCATAGACTCCGTAAGAATGACACTACTCTGTGAGGATTTGGCAAATGGAGAATCAATTCTTAAGAACATTTCTTTGACCTCTCCTGAGTTTGCTGAATTTGCCAATAAAAATTGGTCATGAGGTAGTGTAGATTGGTGCTTGCCAAAGATCAAATGTTTGATGGTTATGGTTAACATTCATCACAGCTTTTTGGCATTTACTGTAATGAACATGCCTTTGGCTATTTAGAAGAGGATAGTCATGTGTGTTTGTGTGTAAACATCTTTATATACACACACAACACATTTCAAATTAAGACATTCCCAGATAATTGTTTATAAACCAGAGCTAATATTTTGATATATCTGGAGTTTCTCATGACGTTACATTCAGTGTGAATCTGTCAACGTCTTGTTTCCTCTTCACTCAGATAAATTAGGACTCTATGACACAATCAAATATGAAGTACAAAGAAAGGAAAAAGGAAGCTTAGAAAAAGATAACCCAAAGAGAAGAAGGAGACAATTTGGTAGAAGAGGAAATGAGACAGAGTAACTTGATAAGATTGGGTCCAGAATTTATTATCTATCTTTCCACCGTATCTTTCCCTCTCTCTCTTTCTCTCCATATACTTTCTATGAGTGTCCTTCGAAATGGAGGAGACAAGAGAGCCTTTTTTGGGGGGCCTGCCATTCTCCCCTATTCTGTGGCCTCTATTTATGGTACTCAGGGTGCCTAATATATAATTTATAGCCATACTCTTATAAATCAGTGTGACAAATGCCTGCCAGTGGTCTCAACCTACAGGTCACAACAGTTATTAAACCATGTGACCATGCATTTGGCCTTGGCATTCCCTGGTCAGACTCTCTTTTAATTAGAGTTAGTTTTGCATATTGGATATATGTAACAGGAGAGCCTGGCATAATTTTTTTCTTCTGAGCAACAAGGTGACATGATTGTTTCAATTGTTACATAACTCAGTTGCCTGCCATACCTTATTTATCACTGTAACTCAGATAAGACATATTTGTATAGATGTCTGTTTAGATATCTTTACCTTGCTGTGATGTGACTATGGTATGACTGTATCCACATAAGAGAATGGGGCATACAGGTTTAGTGAACAGAGCCCCAGGATAGGAGGTGAAGACCAGGTACTCATTTTAAGTCTGTCACCCAACTAGCTGTATGATGTCCTTCAAGTTTTCTGAATCGTAGTCTCTATAAACTAAACTAGAGGTAAAATGAGGGGTCGTACCCTGTGAACTTGAAGGTCTTTTGTAACTCCAACAGTTCATGGCTCTAAGAATTTTGAAGTAAAAGGATGGTGAAATCATAGTCTTGTTAGCCAAAAATGTGTCATCTGTCATTAAGTCTGATGAATGGCTGAAAAAATACTCTTTGACGTTGAAGAATAAAGACAGAGGGAAGGAGTATGATTGAGCTTTATATCTTCATGAGTGGTATACTTAGAGAGGACATTTGTAGTTTCAACAAATTCTGGAAATCTAGAGCCAGGCATGCACCTCTGGCAATTTGGAAAAGTTAGTTTCACAGTTAAGAAAATAAGTAAAATACTGCTTTAAAGAGTAGAAAGGAATCTTGGGACACTTTAAAAGTCACAGGCTAATAATATAATTCATAAAAAATGTTGCTAAATTAAGAGGTTACAAATTTATTATGAATAACCCAGGAGAGCCAAGGTGTTTTTGTGTTATGCCTGTAACCTTTAGAGATTGATGCCATGCAAGCTGACTCTTCTTCGGTGCACCTCTCTGCACAGAACGAAGCTTTTGGCTGATTATGTGACTGATTCAGTTTGGCTCCTCTTATGTCCTAAAGAGAAGCCCCAATTTTTTGAGGGTCTGATTTTCATACTTACTAAAACCATGGCTCATCAGACCCCAGAGTTATCTCAGCAGAGAGCTGGAGTTGGTGGCTGCTTCCTGCATCCTCTATTCTGCAAGGCCAGGGTGCCATGCTCAGGATTACTCTTGTCAGTGGGTCCTTTCCACATATTTGTCACAGAAATGTTCTATATTCCAGACACCCACAACATGCCATATTGTGTCTTTAATGGCATGGAGAGAGATACTGGGTAGTGCTTTCCTTGCTGCCCCTGATTCCAAGCTAAAGGTACAAAAACTCCAAATAAGTCTGTTTGGCAGTCTGACGGGTGAGTGTTACCTTTGGAATGAAGCTGATTTCCCACCCATCGAAGGAAAATGAGAAGGGCTCCCACTGCACCTCCACGGTGGTCTCTGTGATCGTCTTAAATTGTAGCCCTTGAGGAGTGGAGAGATCTGAAACACAGCAATGTAGGTGACAATGTCATGGCTAACCCTTGGGACAGAGAGCATTGCCTGGTGCTTTGTCTTGATGGATTCCCTCCACGCCATGGGTGTTCGGTGGTGTTTGGTGGACAATCCCAATCTTACTGCAGACACAGTGAGTCCTATGTGCAGGATCAGCCTACCCCATTATGGCCCTAGTGCTCGGTGTTGATAGAACATATGGGTTAACTTAAACAGAAGCTATATAAACAATGTTAATGCTTTGTATTACATTAATAGCTTACTATTAAAATGCAGAAATCACTTTCCTTATCTTACTAATGTGGTAGGTCTTGGCATTTCGTATGTAATATAGTGCCTTTTTCTGAGGACTTGGGCATGGGCAGTATCTTTAGAAGCTTTACAGGATTCCTGGGAGGCACTATGATGGCTTCTATCAGTGTGCTCATTGTGCATACAGGAAAAGGGAGGCACCAATTGGAGCAAACCAATTTCAGGATTAATGCTAAAGTGATTTCCTTGATTGTCTGATGTACATTGAGAGTATTTTGTTTAGCTCAAATCACTAAGTCTAGGATGGTCTAAATTTTTCACTTCATGTATTTCCCTCTTTTCCGTCCACCACTGCTTCTCCCCCAACCACACAGACACATACACATGCGTAGGTTTTGTGAAATGGAAGTGTGCTTGTCCTAATGGAGTTCCAGTTATCAGCCCTAAAATATGACAGCATGACTTTTCTCAGTTCTCTGGGAAGCCTGCTCCCATTTTAGCTTTGCCTCTCATGGGCTATTCCCATTGGAAAAAGGACAGATTTTCTTATCCTTCCTGTTTGGAAGCGTTCTCATGCTTTTTGGTTGGAAAGCAGGACTGACTGTGAACCCACTTGAAGGTGTGTCAGGTGGTTTACATGATTTTGTCCTTGTCACCTGGGAGCGTGCCTGAAGGGATGCCCTGAATTGGCATAATAAATGCCACAGGAGATGGAAACCTCATCACTGCGTGTGCATGTGGATCAGAGAGGAGACGCTTGGGAGTCAGGCCAGGCACTTAGGGCAGTGACTCATCCCAGAGCAAGGTGGGGAAAGCAGCAGATGGTGACTTGCCTCTCTGCATAATCACTGCAGACATTTAAAACCAGTTCTCAGGCACCAGAGGAATTCTTTTTTAAAAAGGTCCCATATAGCTCACGCCTGTAATCCCAGCACTTTGGGAGGCTGAGGCAGGTGGATCACAAGGTTGGGAGATCAAGATCATCTTGGCTAATACGGTGAAACCCCATCTCTACTAAAAATACAAAAAATTAGCTGGACGTGGTGGCAGGCACCTGTAGTCCCAGCTACTTGGGAGGCTGAGGCAGGAGAATCGAGTGAACCCAGAAGGCAGAGGTTGCAGCGAGCCGAGATCATGCTACTGCACTCCAGCCTGGGTGACAGAGGCTCTGTCTCAAAAAAAATAAAAATAAATACAAAAAAAGTCAAATGTAAGCAGAGATAATTATAGGCATATTAATGGAGTCAGCACTACTCATCTCATAGCGGAGTCCAAAATTATAACAGAATTTCTGTCACCTGAAAAACAAGGGGACCAGATGACTTCTTATATTCCTTCCCCTCTGCCTGTCTCTGTCCTTCCATTCTTCAAGGCGCAATTCAGTCCTGGAGCTTCCACGAAGATTTCAAGGCTAACTCTTTCTACCTTGACCTTTTCCGTTTCTGAACTTCCATGGCATTTGTTACCCAAATACCATCTTACCTACACAAAATGGTCATAAGTCCCAATTCCTGGCCCAGGGGCTTTCTGAATTCTAGAAGGCTTTTATTTTCATGGTCACTTCTTGTTCTATTTCTTGTTATTGCCAGAAATCTCTGTATCACTCATACCTTATCTCCTTTGAATGTTCTCTTCTCTCTTCCCAGAATTTAATCAGATACAGCCCTTTTTCTTGATCTCTCCAAAGACTTTCCACATAAGGCACACAGGCATTTGTGTGCATGCAGGTTTTGCAGTAGACTTGTGGGGATGGGAACTTCTCTTGCCTAAATTCCTCTGCCTGGCTCTTGAAATTCTAAAACAGGCTTATTTTATCACTTTAAGAATTCAGAGGGGTATAAAGAAAAATAAAATAATGTTGTCTCTTATTCCACTCTTTGATACAGTCAGTGTTAATAATTGGTATGTAATCTTTTATATTTTTCTGTGCTTTAAAATATACAAAATATAGATACATATCCACAGAAGTTTCCTGTTATGTATTTAAAAGCTGTTCATTTCTTATGGAGAGAAGTTTAGCTTGTTTTCTGTCTCCATCTCTCTCTCTTCCCTGTGAATCCTTCTAAACTATGCTTAGGACTTCAACTTTTATAACTAAAATGAACTATTAAGATATTTCGCTAAATAAAAGATCTGGAGGAAATTATGCCACTTCTCTATCAGGAGAAGGGGATGTTATCAGCTGTGGTTTTAAATAAGATTTGTTCTCGCTTTGCTATACACTTATGGTTGAGAACATACCATTTTAGCACTTGCTTCTATTTCATATCTCCTTGTTTTGCATCCCTAACTAGATTCAATGTCTGTAGATGTCTCATACTTTCCTTGACTTCTAATCAGAGTCTAGCTTATAACAAGTCAGTACTCAATAATTAAAGTACTTTTTGTCCTTTTGGTTCTATAATTTATGAAAGCTGCCTGAATTTGGAAACTCTCTTATTCGGAAGTGCCTTTCTAATGATGTACCCTTTCTAAATGGGTCACATCTGTAGCCCTTCCCCTCAAGGGCAATGACTATTCCAGGCGTCCCTGAAGAATTGAGAAAAGACGCTGCTATCATGAATGCCCATGATCTTATGTAGGAAAAAAGAAAAATGAAGCAGGACGGGGAAATGGTACGTACGGGTGGCCACCTTGGCAGTGATGGGAAGGCTGAGGATGTTGCTAATGACAGCGTAGACGCTGATGTTGTAGGTGAGACCTGGCTCCAGCTCCGTGATGATGATACCACTCCAATCTCCAGGCACCCGCTGCTGGAGCTGGAGGCCCCCCAGGGCCGTCGGCTGGTAAGAGATCACATATTCCGTCACTGCCATCGGCCCGTCCCATTCCAGCTCAATGGACCTGTCGCCGATACCAGCCACTCGCAAGTCCTCTGGAGGGGCAACTACCGGGAGGCAATACACAGATAGCATGAGCTCAGAGGATTGCCTTCCCCAACCTGGACTCAACTTTCTTCCTCACATCTCACCCCCATGCCA